CAACCCAATCAGCATCAGAATAAGAGACCAAACGATCAACAACTGAACGACGAATATGAAGACCATGTGTTAAGGTACCTTTAAGATACCTTAAGATGCGCTTAAGATCCTGAAAGTGTGGGACACGCGGGTCATGCATGAATAGACAGACCTGCTGAACAACATAGGCAATATCAGGACGAGTGAAGGTAAGATATTGCAAGGCTCCTGCAAGGCTTTGATATAGAGTCAAATTAGAAACCGGCTCACCAGCAGACGAGAGCTTGGATTTCGTGTCATCCGATGTGCTACATGGATTACACATGACCATATCATAATGACTAAGGATTTCCTGAGCGAACGCAGATTGCGAGAGAAAAAGAGAGGAGTCGGTGCGAGTAGCAGCAATGCCCAAAAAGGAGAGAGGACCAAGATCACTCATTGGAAACTCTGAGGAGATACAAGTGATAACCTTGGTGATGAGAGTAAAAGAAGAAGCAGTAAGGATAATATCATCTAGATATAGAAGGAGATAAATAATATATTTACCGCGATTAAAAGTGAATGGAGAACTGTCAGACTTGCTACTATGAAACCCAAGAGATGAGAGAAAAATGGAAAAACATTGGTACCAAGCACGATGAGCCTGCTTGAGGCCATAAAGGTCCTTACGGAGGAGACAAACATGATCGGGAAACTGAGAGCTAACGTAGCCAGGAGGTTGGCGCACGTACACTATTTCAGCAAGATCCCCGTGAAGAAAGACAATTTTAACATCAAGTTGACGAATAGGACAACTCTTAGAAAAGGAAATACTCAGGACGGTTCGAATGGTGGCAGGTTTGACGACAGGACTAAAAGTGTCATCAAAGTCAAGACCAGGTTGTTGGAAAAAACCTTGAGCAACAAGGCAACCTTTGTAACGATATAAGCGACCGTTACTGTCAAGTTTACGACGATACAACCAACAACAACCAACGATGTTGGTGTGCATGGATTTAGGAACAAGATCCCATGTGTGATTGGAGAAAAGAGTGGACATTTCAGAGTCCATCGCATCTCGCCAGTTGGGATCGCACTTAGCCTAAGTAGTGGGGAGAGGAATCAGAGAGACATCAGAATTAATATAAAGATTGAAGATCTGGTGAGGTCTTAGAGAACCAATGCGAGATCTGGTGACCATCGGGTGGCTGTAGGGAGGAGGGGTCGGGGAGGAAGTGGTGGTATCCGATGTCGAAGAGTCTTTAGTAGGAGAAGGGGGAGAGGGCGAAGGCGAGTCCTCGGTGGAAGTTGAGGAGGGAGGGTTTGAGGTGACAGTTGGAGGGGAGAACGTGAGCATAGTAGGAGGATCATCATCCAGAAGAAAGGAGTCATAATCGTTAGATGTAGGGGAAGGATGAAAGTCAAGATAAGGGAAGTGAGTTTCATCGAAGGTAACATGACGAGAGAGAATGACCTTTTGAGTGATAAGATCAGTACATCGATACCCTCGATGATCAATGGAAGGTCCAAGGTAGACGCAAGCAGATTAACGAGGTGAGAGCTTGTAAGTGGCAGTGGATGAGAGATTTGGGTAACAGAGGCACCCAAAAACACGAAGGTGTTCATAGGTCAGAGAAACCCCGAAAAGAATTTCAATAGGGGTTTTGAGATGAAGGGTAGTAGTAGGTAAGAGATTAAAAGTACGAGCAACGGAAAGAAGGACTTCAACCCAAAACGTAGGAGGAAGAGTGGCTTGAGTTAAGGACATGCGCATAATATTTTTAATGGTACGGATGGTGCGCTCAACTTTCCCGATTTATTGAGAGATATAAGGACATGAAAATCGGATTTTTATGCCATGATCATTAAAAAAAATCTAAAAGTGGCTTGTGGTTTAATTCACGACCATTGTCACATTGAAAAAGTTGAAGGTCGGTTTTAAATTGATTAGTGACATAGGCACGAAATATTTTAAAAATAGAGAATACTTCAGATTTGGCACGCAATGGAAATATCCATAAAAATGAGAATAATCATCTAAGAACAGAATGTAATATTTGAAGACCCTGAGACTTGAAACAGGTGAAGTCCACAAATCATAATGAATTAATTCAAACACACGACTAGTTTTAGTTTGTGATAATGAAAAAGGTAAACGACAATGTTTTCCTAGTTCACGCGCATGACACAAAGATGTGTTTTTATTTGGACATGAAGTAAAATTACACGGATGAAGAAAATTAAAAACGGAGGCGCTTGGGTGACCGAGTCTTCGATGCCAAATGTCATGAGAAACAACAACAAGCGCAGTAGATGAGTTACAACTAGCAATGGGAGGAAGAACATGATAGAGATCAGAATGAATACTGTCGTGAAGTTGAAGAGGAGTACCTATGCTAAGATCCATGACAGTAAAACCAAGCGAGTCAAACTCAACGGAAACATAGTTGTCAATAGTAAATCTACGAACATAAATGAGATTTTTTACCATCTTGTCAGATACGAGAATTTTTTTTAAAGGGAAATGATTATTTGAAAAAGGAAAAAAAAAGATTGAGCTATGGAATTGACAGGAAATACAACACTGTTACCAACCATTATAAATTTAGAGTCACATGGGGTTGGAGAGTGCATTGTACCTTGGTTGAAGGACATGTGAGAGCTTGCTCTAGAATCCATGTAGTAGTTGTTGTCACCAGGAGGTTGAACGAACATAACTTGGAAGACGGAGGCGAGATCGGTGAATTGTTGATGCGAAGCCTGACCTCCGAAGGCTGAAGTGAGAGGTCGCTATGAAGGAGGTGTAGGTGCATGAAGCTGTGGAGGAGGGCCTACGTAGGGTTGCTGTGAAGGCGACATTTGTTGTTAATGATGACCTGTAACAGCCCAATTTTCACGCCCAAAAATTTCATTTTTATAAATTACTTTCATTAAAACATTCGGGGGAAAAACATTGTCAAATCATAACATCTCATAAAACTATGTATAATGTCTGAAAATCCAAATCATAAATAGTGATAATGTCAGAGAACAATCCCAAGGAAACTCATAGTGCGGAATCTGGGGTGTGTGTATGATGTGCAGCTACCGCGCCGGCTCCTTCCCCTTCGCTGAAGAGGTACCTGAAACAAAACTGAAAACTGTAAGCACGAAGCTTAGTGAGCTCCCCCATCGTACCACATACCATAAAATCACATATCTTGCATATACTGTCAAGCATATCTGGGTGCCCGACCTACCCCTTCGGCCCTGTCGACCGGATAATGCCTAGCATATCTGGGTGCTGGCCTCCCCTTTGGTCCTGTCGACCGGATACTGCCTAGCATATCTGGGTGCTGGCCTCCCCTTCGGTCCTGTCGACCAGATACTGCCTAGCATATCTGGGTGTTGGCCTCCCCTTCGGTCCTGTCGACCGGATACTGGGGACTATTTCACCCCACTACCACTGCCACATAACATGTATCACATAATCATATTCTATCTAGTATGACTGGGTATGACTACCCCTCTTTGGCCCTATCGACCGGAGATCTTAGGGACTATCTCCCCTACTGCTACTGGCACATAACATCATATCATACTAGCACATAACATATCAGGTAGTAGCAAACCTAGATGAATATCACAAAGACAATCATCTAATATACAACTCCTACTGGTGGGTCGGCATTGTGGCCGTAGACCCACTGCTACTGGAAGGTAACTCACCTCGTAAAGCTGACTGCTGGAAAACTGCTCGGCAACTGTCTGACTGCTGTTCCGGTAACCCTCCGGCTATAATCCCACAAAACACTCAGTTAGAACCTGATATCTTCTCTTAGGGTAAAATGACCATTTTACCCCTGACCAAGTCCAAGTCAAAGTCAAAGTCAAAGTCAACTTCCAGTTGACCCGACTCGCCGAGTTGGGCCGCCAACTCGTCGAGTCCCTATCTCTTCCACTGTCCTCATCCACGACTCTACTCGTCGAGTTGGGCCGCCAACTCGTCGAGTCCCTCTTCGATATGAACATCGAATGAACCTTCATCCGACTCGCCGAGTTGTATGAACAACTCGTCGTTCAACCATAAGGAGATTGCCTTGGACTCGCCGAGTCTGTTCTAGCACTCGTCGAGTCCCATGAACTCCAGGTCTAAAACTAGGTCCAATGCGTTGGGTCACTCTTTCTGTCCTGCTACAACCCTTCTAACACCCAACTAAGTTCTTTGGCCCTCAACAGATATGGGACTCAAAGCCTTGGACTCGTCGAGTCCTAAGAACGGACTCGCCGAGTCGATGACATCCACACCCTAAATCATCGATTTCTGATGTACAACACTTGACCAAAAGGTAGATCTAAGCTCCTTCAATCGTTCTAGCACGTAAAGTTACAAACTTTACGTGCATGCATGGGACTTTGAGCTCAAAAGGACATAAAATAAGCTCTTATGATGCATGAGACCTTTCTTGGGTGCAAAAGCAACCCAAATCTGCCTTGTGACTCTTCCCCAGTGCAAGATCCGAAGTCTTGACCCCCAACCATGTTTGCAATCATGGTTGGTTACCAAAATGGCTTATAAAAGCCCTAAATCTCCCCAAAAAGGGATCTATCAAATTAAAGAGCAAGGTACAGACTTTATACCTTTCAAAGACTGCAAATGATGAACCAACTCGAATCCTTCAGTCTCCTCTTGATCCTTCTATGCTCTTCCTTCTTCCTTGTGAACAAAACCACCAAAAATCACTCAAAAGCTTTAAATATTGCACCAAAACACTTAGGGTTTGCTATAGAGGGTTTCTGGGAGCATAAAGGGGCGATGGAGGCTGTATAAGGTTGTTTAAATAGGGTGCAAACCCTCAAATTAGGGTTTTGTCCATACAGAGCCTACTCGTCGAGTCCAGGACCCGACTCGACGAGTCCATCACTTAAATCCCGCGTCTCATCCCGCTTCTACTCGACGAGTTGGTCCTTCAACTCGCCGAGTCCAAGGTCAAAAATGCAAAAATACTTAAGTAAATACATACCAGGAACCAGGTGCTACAAATCTCCCCCACTTATTTTTAGACTTCGTCCTCGAAGTCTGCTGCTCGATCCTGGAATAACTCTGGGTAATGCTCCATCATCTCATCCACCGGCTCCCAGGTCCATTCCGAGCCCTTCCGGTGGTGCCACTGCACCTTCACGAGCTCCACCCTCTTGTTTCTCAGATCCTTCGACTTCCGGTCGAGGATTGCTACAGGTCGCTCAATGTAATTCAGGCTGTCATCGACCTGAATGTCCTCTAAGGGTACTACTGCTGAGTCGTCCACCAGGCACTTCCGCAGCTGAGAGACGTGGAAGGTGCTGTGGATCTGGCTGAGTTCGGCTGGCAGATCCAACCTGTACGCCACCTTGCCAACCCGGGCTATAACCCTGAAGGGTCCAATATACCTGGGACCCAACTTGCCCCGTTTCCTGAATCGGATGACGCCCTTCCATGGCGACACCTTCAGGAGAACCATATCCCCGACCTGGAACTCCAGGTCTGAACGACGCTTATCGGCATAGCTTTTCTGCCGACTCTGTGCAGTCTGAAGTCTGCTCCTGACCTGCTGAATCCTTTCTGTCGTCTTGAGCACTACTTTGGTGCTCCCCATGACCCTCTGGCCAACCTCGCCCCAGCATATCGGGGTCCTGCACTTCCTCCCGTATAACATCTCAAAGGGAGGACGATCAATACTCGCATGGTAGATGTTGTTGTAGGAGAACTCAGCCAACGGAAGGTAAGTATGCCAACTACCACCAAAATCTAACACACACGCCCGCAACATATCTTCCAGAGTCTGGATGGTCCGCTCGCTCTGGCCATCCATCTGCGGGTGAAAGGCGGTGCTGAAATGCAGACGAGTACCCAACTCGTCGTGGAATTTCTTCCAAAACCTGGAAGTGAACCGAACATCCCTGTCAGAAATCACGGAGACCGGCACCCTGTGACGAGCCACAACCTCTCGAATATAAATATCGGCCAGCTTCTCGGCCGATATGCTCTCCTGGATCGGTATAAAATGGGCACTCTTGGTCAACCGATCCACGATGACCCATATGGAATCCACTCCCCGCGCGGTTCTGGGAAGCTTGGTGATGAAATCCATAGTAATATCTTCCCACTTCCACAGGGGAATATCCAATGGCTGCATCTTGCCGTGTGGCCTCTGGTGCTCGGCCTTGACCTTTCTGCAGGTCAAGCACCGCTCCACATACCATGCTACATCCCGCTTCATGCAGGGCCACCAATAATCAAGACGAAGATCCCTATACATCTTCGTCGCCCCGGGATGAATGGAGAATCGGGATTTGTGCGCCTCCTCCATCAGAACCTGGCGCACGCCTCCGTGGTATGGAACCCACACCCTGCGGTGTAATGTCAATAATCCCCTGCTGTCATAGTCAAAGGAGGAAACCTGACCCACTATACGCTCACTCTTCCGATGTTCCTCCTTCATAGCATCCTGTTGGGCCTCTCGGATCTGCTCCAATAATGGGGTCACTACTGTCATCCGCATGCAGATATCTCTGATCGGCGCCGCCTTGCGGCTAAGTGCATCGGCCACCACGTTGGCCTTCCCCGGGTGGTAGAGGATTTCGCAATCATAATCCTTCACCACGTCCAACCACCGACACTGCCTCATGTTCAGATTCGGCTGATCCATGAGATACCTCAGGCTCTTGTGGTCCGTGTAAATGGTACAACGAACCCCATAGAGGTAATGACGCCAAATCTTGAGGGCAAAAACAACAGCCCCCAGTTCCAAATCATGCGTCGGATAATTCGCCTCGTGAGGCTTCAGCTGCCTCGAAGCGTATGCAATAACGTGCCCTCTTTGCATCAAAACCGCTCCCAAACCCGAAATAGACGCGTCACAATATACCACAAAATCCTCTACGCCCTCAGGCAGGGCTAGGATCGGTGCCTCGCACAATCTCTGTCTCAGCGTCTCAAACGCTGCCTGCTGCTCAGGCCCCCAACGAAAGACTACGGCCTTCTTTGTCAGCCGCGTCAAGGGTACGACTATCTTGGAGAAATCCTGGATGAATCTCTGATAGTAGCCGGCTAATCCCAGGAAACTCCGAATCTCAGATGGAGACTTCGGAACCTCCCATCTCATCACGGCCTCCACCTTGGCCGGGTCGACCAGAATATCGTTCTGGTTGACAAGGTGACCAAGAAACTGCACCTCGCGCAACCAGAGCTCACACTTGGAGAACTTGGCGTACAAGCTCTCTCTCCTCAGAGTATCCAGAACCTCTCGCAGATGCTCCTCATGCTGCTCTTGCGTCTTGGAATAGACCAAGATGTCGTCAATGAAAACTATCACGGACCGATCCAGCATCGGTCTACACACGCGGTTTATGAGGTCCATGAACGCGACACGAGCATTGGTGAGCCCGAAAGGCATCACCACGAACTCATAGTGGCCATAGCGCGTCCGGAATGCAGTCTTCTGTACATCCTCCTCTCTGACCCTCATCTGATGATATCCTGATCGCAGATCAATCTTGGAGAACCAAGATGCTCCCTGTAGCTGGTCAAAGAGGTCATCAATCCTCGGGAGTGGGTAACGGTTCTTCACCGTCACCTTGTTCAGCTCCCTATAATCTATACACATCCGGTGCGAACCGTCCTTCTTCTTCACAAACAGAATCGGGGCTTCCCAGGGTGAATTGTTCGGTCTAATGAATCCCTTGTCTAACAGCTCCTGCAGCTGTGTAGACAACTCCTGCAGCTGTGTAGAGCCAACCGATACGGTGCCTTGGCTGTCGGAGCCGCACCAGGGACTAGGTCGATCCTGAACTCCACCTGTCGCTCTGGAGGTATCCCAGGAAGCTCCTCTGGGAACACATCTGCGTAGTCTCGCACCACCGGAACGTCACTCACCGTCGCCTTACCCACCTCCCGGGTATCCATGACATAGGCGACATATCCTGTGCAACCCTGCTGTAGGTAACGCCTAGCCCTCGCTGCCGAACATGAAGCTGGTCCTCGTTGCGGCCTCTCGCCTTGAATCACCAGCTCTCTCCCACTTGGGGTCCTGATCCGCACCAACTGCTGCGCGCAGTCGATCACCGCCCCATTGGGGCTTAGCCAATCCATGCCGATAATAACCTTGTTCCCCCGCAAAGGTATGGGAACCAAGTCTACCAGGTAGCGCTCCTCGAATAATCTCAGCACATAATCTCGGAATACCGCTGATGCTCGCACCAATCGATCATCGACGATCTCTACCTCTAAAGGGAAATCCAACGTGCTTGAAGACTCGGGAAACCTCTTGCTGAGCGCAAGAGAAACAAACGATCGGGTAGCACCCGAATCAAACAATACCTGAACTGGGATACCGTTCACATGGAACGATCCTAAACAGAGCACATATATATATCTATATATATATATATATATATATATATATATATATATATATATATATATATATGTGTGTGTGTGTGTGTGTGTATGTGTGTGTGTGATATTAGAGCTGGCGTCTTGCATCCCCGTGACCCAACACTTCGTTGCCTATCTTTATTGAGCATTCGACTTTGAGGAGAAGTGTTATCGAGATAAAAAGGTCTCGAATAAAATACTTAATCAATATATGTTAATAATAACATAAAGCAAATATGCAAGGTTATATTTATGAGAAATTAAGTAATTTAACCACTTTTGTATTGATATTATTAAAAAAATAACCAATTTGATTTTTTTTTTGCAATATAACCATATTCTTCAGAATGAGCCATTGTGGAGACCATTTCCTACGTGGATCTAGCTTGTCCCGTTCAACGCATTTTAGAATGCCCATTCCAGCCCATTCCGACATGTCCAAAAGGCACAAAACAATTTCAGAATGTTCATCGCATTTTTGTTTCGGTCCAGTTTGGTGAATATTTTTGTGCCTCTGATTCCGGTCAGGCCTTCTAATCCTGTGTATATCCTATGGTTAAGAAGAATGACTCCGTGAAATTAAAAGATGTCGTTGATGTGTTTGAAGGCTCATTTCATGAGTTATCGGACGAAGATCGGTTCGTGTATGTCTTCTAAATCTGTTAGAGAAGAGTTTTAGTGGGCGATTGCATCGTCAACCTGTGAAATACAAGATTTTGGCTTTGGTATCCAACATTGATGAATTAAATAGGTATCATGCCGTTAATTTATAATTATCATTACTAATGTTTTTTACAAAATTAATTATGCATTTTTATGTTGCAGATGTCTATGGGGTGGAGGGAGGGGGGGAGTTGGGATCAATTGTACTCTCAACCATGCACTGTATTGAATAAGGTTGACAACCATATACATCCTGTGAAAGAAAAAAATATACAACCTCAAAAAATGATGTACACCCTAAGCAAATTTTTTATAGGATTTTAAGGTAAAATACATGATTATCTCTTTAACTTTTTTATTTGCTAATATTCTAATACATCATTCTTTTATATATGAATTCTTTAGAGTTTTCTTGTAAGCAGTTTGTTTGGTACCTGACAACTGAATGCGATCCCTCGGGCAGTTGGATAGTCGAAACTGAAGAAGTTACGTGCAGAGAAATGCAACAAGTTTCTTATAGTTAACGGGGTATGATTATTTATATAATTTATAATTTTCACATATATGTATAACTTATAATTATTTATAATTTTACAAATTTGTTAGCAGAATAATAGACTTATAGAGAAGTTGGAGCCCCACAACAGATGAGAGTCGTGTTGACTGGTGGTCTTTTAGCTCCGCGTTGATTGAACGCCCTACTTTAGCTAACGTACATGGAACCTTCTCTAACACCATCACCTTGCAACTCGCCTACTTATGAGCCTCTACAAAAGAAGGTACAACTAGATGTTGCTAAAGGTTTAAATGAATCTGACCCACCACCACTAGCCATGTACCATCAACTGATAAGGACCAAATTATTATTGAGTTGCAAAAGGAGCTTCTTGACTGTTGCAAGTAGTTATGACACTTGAGATGCGGTTTTTACAACTTGAATCTACCGTAGCCATGCTCCTATAGTGTAATAATAATCATAATGGTTCCAGAGATGATGGTGGTACCTCACACAGGGTGGAGGTACATTGTTAATTATTTCACTCCCGTGCATTTTTATTTAACTTTATGGTATACTCATTATTGCATCATTTATAATTAAATACTATGGAACCGTACAACTAATTATCATAGATGACATTGGTATTGCACATGACAATGACTTATGGGACCATACATATGGGTTAGGTACGCCTCTACATCCGCCGAATGACGGACCTGAGTAGATGTTTGCATATAATTACTCGTTGGATATAAAAGTGATTCCATGGGAAGAATACAAAACACCACCTCTACCTTAGGCTGTTTTTATCGAGAAAAACATGCATCTGTATGGATTAAGTCCCCATGGATACAGATGAAAAAGAAAGGTGTTGCATGCCAACACCCATCATCGTCGGACAACTGTTTAGTGTGACACACGATTCTTGATTTGAGTATTTGCAGATGCGCTTACCGAATTTTCAATTGGAGGATTTCATGTTTAAGAGGTTTTTAATTGTAACACTCGAGTCTCGATTATTCTTTTCCTAAACTATGATTGGTGGTTTCAAAGTCCAAGGAAAGGTATAAGTGAATACTAAAGTTTAAAGGAATTAATTGCAAAAAATCTAAATATTGGAAAACTGTGGATTTATACTGAGGGCGTCATGGCGTCATTTATAGGGCGCGAGGCTCCCAGGCCCATGTACCGAATGACTTTTAGGGGTTTTGGGACTATTTAATGCACCTTAACTCATAAGGTTTGTCATTTCTCAACCTATATCAGTCCTAAAATGTCCATTGAGAGAAACCCTATCCTCCTTTTGAGTGTTGTGAGCTTATCCTCTCTCCTTGAACCTCATTTGGTGCTTATTTTGGGATTTTTGGAGAAGTAGTCAAGAAAGGTGGTGTTTGGTAGGGGTGGCAAAAGTCGACATGACACGACAAAAATGTTGGGTTTTGAGCAAAACATCAATCCTATGGTGCACATGCAAACCCTAAAGCTTTGGATTTAGTTTTTCTATTTGTACATGCAATAATCATCCAAAGCTCTTAAACCCTAATCTAGCATACAACAAAATCGAAATCTACATCTAATGAAGAGTTAAGATATTACCTTTGATTGTAGCTTGAAGATCTTGAGCTTTTGAGAACCCAGCACCTCAAATGCGATGCCTCTAATGAATCACAAACACCAAAACAATTGGAGAATCTTGGAGAGAGAGGGGAGAGGTAATTTTCGGCTCTTGAATCCTTCTAGGGTTGTGGTAGCCGAATTTGTGAAGCCTAGGGGTCCTTTATATAGGTGAGCTGCTAGGGTTTCAGTCAAAACCCTAATTAGATTGCTTAGGCTCTAAGCAGTCCAAAGGATCCTTCCAGAAGGCCCCTTGGACGATTTCTATGTGGGATCCCACAGAGAATTCCTCCACCCCTTCCTTAGTGTTCCTCAGCCCATATTGCAACTATCACATAATTACAATATCAGTCCCCTTAATTTAATTAATCTCTTTTGACTACAAAATTAATTCTAAATTAATTCTTTACCAATATTAATTAAATAAATATGATTTCTCCTCTAATATATTATTCATATAATATATTAATAAACCATAATAACCTATTTCTCTATTATTCTTCCAGTCAAGTTGCTTTGGTGAAGGTAACCCAAAAGGATCATGCTATAACCGGGTCAAGTACATACCAAATATAGTTATGGCTTAGACACCTAATCCAACAGTCTCCCACTTGTATAAGTCTAATAACTATAAATGCAAGTACGACTTCAAAATCCGATTAGCAATCGTAGCTCTCAAAAGCCGCTGTCGAACTCTGACACGTCCTTTAGATAAGGGATCGTATAGTCCTCCGTTCTCAAGATATCGTGTGGAAAATCACATGGAACATAGTCATACTTATTGTCCAGCAGTTTGTTTCTCGTTCTCTGATTTGTATGACATAGAACTTAATTGAACACATCAATTTAGTCTTGACCGCGCCCGACACATAAGTCAAAACAAAATCATCGAGGGGCCCAAGATATCGCTTTTAGCCTCATAGGATAAAAGGAACAGATAAACTTCGACTTATATGCTTGTACTATTTACTCATCAAATCGTACACAACAATGCGTTTTATAACATCAAGTTACTGATGCGTTTACGCATTATCAACGCACAACCAATTCATAAACAACAACTCATATATCTAGGTTTAAAGACTATATGATATTATCATCTCACAATCACTCGTGATTAAATTCCATGAAGTGATTCATGTGAGTGCGGGTTTAATCCAATACTCAAATCATATTTCATAAGCACTCATGAACGTTGCAGCAAAATTTTCGCTATGTCTAAACACTTAGACAATCTACAAGCCAATTCATGACAGTCTTCTTTCATACTTACTTCCAATGTATGATCAACTGTGGATGGTTTAAATAATCTTATTATTTTGGAAGTCAAAACATGCAAAGTGAAACAATAGTAAATAATTGACACAAGACAGTAACATTACTTATAAATAAAACACCTTTATTTAATCATCAAAATGTCAATTACAATTTATCTATTATAAGTTTCTAAAAAC